CAGGAGAGAAACCGTATAAATGTATGGAGTGTGGAAAGTGCTTTAGTCAAAATAGTTCACTTTCTTCCCATAGAAGGATTCACTCAGGAGAGAAACCGTATAAATGTATGGAGTGTGGAAAGTGCTTTAGTCAAAATAGTTCACTTTCTTCCCATAGAAGGATTCACTCAGGAGAGAAACCGTATAAATGTATGGAGTGTGGAAAGTGCTATAGTCGTAGCGGTCCTCTTAATTCCCACATGAGGATCCATACAGATGAGAAACCATGTAAATGAATTGAACGTGAAAAGGTATTTAGTCACAATCAGTCATATAATATCCATAGAAAGATTCAGTCACAGAAGAAACCAATAAATGTATCAAGTATGGGAAGAGTTTTATTCAAAATATTTCCCTTATTTTTCCTGTAAAGGGATTTGCTCACAGGAAGAAACTGTATAAATGCTCACAGGAGAAACTGCATAAATGTCTCAAAGTTGCAGAGTGCTTTGGTGACTCTTCTTTGCTTATTCACATAAAATGATTTGCTTGGAAGAAACCATATAAATACATTGAGTGTGGAAAGTGTTTCTGAAGCACTGGCAACCTTACTTTCCATAAAAAGACATGAACGGTAGAACCTTGTAAATGAAGGGAATCTTAATGGAGCTTCTAGGTGATAAATAGCCTTCTCACTGAAGGATCCATGCAGGAGGGAAACCATATATGTGCAAGATGCAGTGGAAGAGCTTCAGAACCAGAAGTGACCATAATTCCTGTGGAAGAACACATACTAGGGAGAACTATGTAAATGTCTTGAGCGCAGAAGAGATTTGCACACAATCATTCACTTTATACCCATGGAAGGATAAAACCATATAAAGCCTGGAGTATAAAAAGTGCCTAGAAGCAGTGGGATTTATCACATAGAAAGATGTACAAAGGGTGATCTGGATGAATGCATTAAGTGTGTAAAGGGAATTGAAAAGACTGCAGTGCTGAGCTGTTGAGTATAATCTGCTGGTGTTGGATGGAAGATTGGAACAAACAACTGGCTGGTGAGGACAAGGGGAGAGAAGTGTGATGTCCTTGGAGCGGATCAAGGAGAGGACAGGAAAGGTCTTGCAAGAGTTCGCTACCACTGGCTACTTGGAAGAAGATGGGATGCCGAGCATTTGTCCATACTGTGCGCTGAATGTGGCCTTTCTTGGAAGACTCAACATTGTAATCATCCTCTTACCACAAGGGGCACTAGAGAGAGTGACAGGATTCTGCACTTGCATCTAGATGCTTAATTTGAAGAAGATGCCTTCTATTGAGTAGACTCTATTTGTGACGGGTGTCAACATTTCCACTTCTCTTGTATTTACAAGAAGAAAACATGCCGGCTCTATGGTAAACATGGCTTTGCCGTCGCCATGTTAACTTCCTGAATAAAGATTTTTTTTTCTTTCAAGGACGAGTCTCCAGACATCTTTTATATAAATGTCAATCTCCTTATTAACTTCTTTCTCTCTAAATACACTTTTGCACCATGAAAATCTCCAACATGTTTAACTCTAGCTAACTTATGTTTATACATGCACTGGTGGGACAAAAATGCCAGCAATTTTTCAGGAAGTTATAAGGAGGAAGGTGGCTGGTGTGGGTCTTCCGGGCTGTGTGGCCGTGTTCTGGAAGTTTTGTTTCCTAACGTTTTGCCAGCATCTGTGACCCAGCATCTGTGACCC